AAAAAAAAAAAAAAAAAAGAACACCCCCCTCCCCACCCCCGGTCATTGGTGTCCTGCTTTACCAATGTTAAAATCTGGTCACCTTAGCCTAGTTGAATTGTAATTGGGAAAACTTGAATCCTGGCTGTTCAGGGTCTCTCTTTTGTTAGTCTATTTCTCTTCCTCTTGCTCTTTCTACGTCCCCTAGTGTTTAGGTTACACTTGTCCATTTGACACAAGAGAGCTCCTACTAGGCAAGCATGCTCTGTGTTTCAGGGAAGAAGGGTTGATGAAGTAGAGTTTGGGCCCAGCCCTGAAAATTCATGTTGCTTAAGGCACCATGAGGCCTGGGCTCCCTCACTGGTTCCACAAGCACTTACTTGGGTGCCTGCTCTGCACCAGGCCCTGAGCTACATATTAAGGGTACAGAGATGGAAAATGATCTGATCCTGCCCTGACCCTTTGTAGATCTCCTCCACTGACCCATTTGAAAGTGGGAGGGAGAAGATATCTGGTCCATAAGGGACCTTGGAGCTCTTAACATTGGGGGTCTTATCTGTCCCAAGTACTCCAGGTCCCATCACATCTGTGCTTTCCCCAGAAGAACCAGGCTGGCCTCACTTCCCTCTCTCTCTCTTCTCCCCTGTAAGTTCCAAGCAGACATACTCCAGTACATCTCATCTTCTGTGTGGTCAAGCAGCTACAAGAAGCAGGTTGTGAACCTCTGATAGCTCTGGTGGGAGAGGGGAGCAAAGAAAGAAGAAGAAGAAGAGAAAGGGGTGGCATGTCAGGTGGCTATCTAGGACAGATGGGGGAATTATAGCATACACTAACTTCCCCAAAAAGTTCCTTTAAGAAAGGATACCCAGGAAAAGTAAAGTCTGAAAGAACAAAGACTTCTCAGAAAATCCCAAGGACACTCCTGCAAGGTCCTCCCCATGGTAAACTGGCCCTTAAAATTTTATAAAACTTAGCCTTCTGGGTCCTTGAAACTAACCCTTGCTGCTTGTTTCCACTTCTATAAACCCTGTACATGATTTGACACTTCCAATGATAGATAATATGGTAATTCCTTTGTCTGTCTACTTGTGAGTCCAACAAAAGGCCAGGAACAGAGCTGATGGGGAGCTCAGCCATTGTGGATTCTAGTCTGCAGCAGCTTCATGGGCTGAAATAAAATCCCTTCCTCTTCAATCACCAATGTTTGAGTAACTCATTCTTTCTGCTTTGTCTCCTCTGGGCCTAGATTCCTTCAACACCCTAAGCTCAATTCAGAAGAGTTATATTATTCAGTCTAATCCCAAAGCAGAGTAGGGATTAGGGTAACAATGGAGTTCTGCACTGATGTCCTTAAAAAAGGGATCAGTGTTCCCTTGCACTTATAGGACACTTGATATCATTTTTATATTTGATTTCTCCAGTGACCCCTTCAGTTATATTCCACAGATCTTTTTTAGTACCTCCTATATTCAGGGACTTATGCTGATAATATTGGCATTTTCCTTTATGACACATAAAAACATCAAGTGTACAAATATTTTTGTGACTTTTTGTTTTAATGTCTGTTGCCTCCACTAGACCTTAAGCTCAAAAAAAGCAGAAATCATGTCTGTCTCCTTCTCCCACTGAATCTTCAGAACCTAAAAATAGTGCCTGGCAAATAGCAGTCACTCAATACACAATGACGGGAAAAATGTAAATCCAGGGGTCTAGCTTCAGCCTGAAGCATAGTAGATGTTTAGTAGACACTAATTGAAATAAACGAATAGTAATAACAGGAAACAGTGTCTACTGTGTGCCAGGTCCTCCTAAGCATTTCACATCCGTTCACTAATTTAATCCTCAGAACCTAAAGTATGAGGTTGGTACTATTATTGTCACCATCTTACAGATGAGGAAGCCAAGGCATACAGGTTCCCCAATTTGTAAGTCACAGACCTAAAATGTGAACCCCAGCTGTCTGGCTCTAAAGTCATGCCCCTAAACACTATACTATACTCCTTCTAGCAATGAATGCACAAATGGAGCTCTAGAGAAATGTAGCAATTTCCAAAGAAGTCACAGGAAGAGCATGGTGGCACTAGGACTAGAAGCCAAATCTGCTCTCTGTGGTGTGAGGCCACCGATACAGAGCCCCCGTGACTACACCCACAAAAAGGCATCAGAAAAATAGCCCTAACAGGCTATGTGGCTCTCAGCAGAAGACAAGAGAAGACAAAGAGTAGCCACTGGGGCAGAAACAAGTGTGACTACCAGGTCTCTTTTCTTAATCACAGAGTGCTTCTAAGAGATCCTATTTGAGGCCTAGTGTATTCTCTTTTCCCCCATTAATGTATCAGCAACCCCTTCTCCCACTATAGCTAGAGACATCGCAAGGCCATTGGTGCCTGATTGCAATTTGGTACACATGGAGTAAGGACAAATGTTGGGGAGATTAGATGTTCTAATTTGTAACCTGATGTGTGTAGGAAGTTGGGGCGGGGCAGTAAGCAGGAAAAAGTGGAGGAAAGGTTCAGCCAAACCTGACAAAACCACAGCAGCTAATCCGACTCAGTGATAAGAGATTATAGCAAAGCATCTATAATCAACTCAGCTTAAGAGATCTTGACCTCTGGTTGGGTTTCCTGCCACAGCAGAATAGCATCATGACCAAGGCCTTCTTCTCCCGACTAGATCTTCAAGAGGGTCTCCAAACCCTCTCTGTTATGCAGTGGCTCCCAGTCTACATATTTTTAGGTGAGTGATCCCAAGGGTTGGAGAGCACGTAAGAACAGATCAAGAAAAGAGGCCAGGCATTCCGAGATGAGGAGGGCTCTGCATGGTCCCCATCCTCTGGGAAGGAGTGGGTCAGCACAAAGGCCAGGAGTAAGGCTATGGCTGTTCCAATTTAAAGATCACCCCGCCTCCTCAGAAGCAGTCCCCTATAAACTAGCTGAAAAATAGTCATATTCAGGGCACAGGGCAGAGTGGGTAGTAACTTGTTGACTTGGTGTTACTAGGTAAATGAAAGATAATGTTCTAGTCTATGATGAGAGAATTCTGGAAAATCTGAAGGCTGCCTGAGTGACTTATTAGACAGAATTTTGAGAAAGGGCCAGTTGTTCAGTGGACTTGGGGCACAGCAGTCATCAGTGCACGGCAAATGGGCTGCAGCTCAAGGCTTTTCTCAGCCAGAAACCAGGCCTTGTGGCAACCAATGGTTGGAGCAAACTTGGAAACTGGATGAGAAGAAATAATGTCATCCTGAAGGATGGGACAGAGGCAGGAGGCAGCTGATATACTGCATAACCCTGAGAGCAGAGGTTCTTAACCAGGGTTCTACAGAGCAAGAATTCAGAATGAGGTTGAGTTCAGATGGAAAAAGTCACCTCTTTCTTTTCTTTTCTTTTCTTTT